CTGGCCACTTAGCCTCTGCAGGGGTGGCTGCTTCTGTCTGAAACATGGGAGGAGTGGGCTCTGTGGACAGCCTGTAGGTCCCTGACAGCGGGGAGCTGCACCCTCAGCTCAAGACCTGGCACGTGGATGGACCTCACTGCATATTCGTTTACATGCATGTGAGCGTGCAAGCTAAGTGGCTTCAGTCATATCTGACTCTTTCAACTCCATGGGCTGTAGCCTACCAGGCTCCTCTGTCCCTGGGATTCTCCAGACAACAATACTGCAGTGGGTTGCCGTGCCCTCCTCCAGGGAATCTTCCCTACTCAAGGATCAAACCTGTGTCTCTTAGGGCTCCTTCATTGGCAGGCGGGTTCTTCACTTGGGAAGCCCACATATTCGTTTACCTCATTAATGAGTCTGTAGGTGGAAGGAATCAGGCTACAGACCAAGGATTCTAACTCTTCAACATGCAAAAATATGAACCAGGACAACATGGTTCATAGATCATCCCCTTCATATCCCCTCTGCCCATAGGATTCTCAAGACCCCAGTGCCCTCTTGACTCCCCAAAGCCGGGGTACCCTGACAAAGCTTCTGTTTTCCAGGAAATGGCTAGCATTCCCATTTTCCTATTTCTTTTTTATTTAATACAGATTTGGCAGAGTAAGAGCAAGTGAAAGTTATGTGCTTTAGTGTCAAACACCCCTGACTTCCATTCCTGGCTGTCATTACCTGTGTCATCTCAGGAAAATCATTTAATGACTCAGGGCCTGCTCTTTCTCTGCAAAACAAGGACAGCACAGAACACCTTGCAAGAATTCTGTGTGGAGACTGGGGAAGTGGGGTCCCCTGCTCATCTCAGTCCCTCGGGGACTCGGGCTAAGGCTGGCAGGTGGCCGTGTCTAAAGGGAAAGAGAGTGCCACGGGTCTTTCATTGGAACTTTAAGTGGGTAACAGATCCACTTAGGTGTGATGGGCTAGGACCAGTCACATGGTATCACCCACCCAAGCACCACCAAGCGTCTGGGAAGAGCCATTCCCATGGGTGCCAGGAAAGCAGAGAGCCGGAAGCAGAAAGCAATTATTGCAGCGTGTAAAGCGGCAGGTGCTCTGATGGGCGTGTTGTAAGGACCGCATCTATGCCAGCTCTATTTCAGTTTGGATCTCATATATAAAATGTTGTATATGTGTTGTTTAGCATACTCAGGAGTGTTCATGGCTGAAAATTCATTGAGGTATTGTAATCTCCCTTTCAGAAGTACCCACAGTTTAAGCTCAGATTTGTGGGGATGTGATATTAAACCTCAAGGAACGAATCTCTCCAGGAAGTGGAAAGATTCAGAGTGTCCAGAGGAGGCAGGGTCTGGCCAGGTCTAGGTGTAAGAGTGGTATCTAAGCACGTGGCACAGAGCACCCCAGGTCTTTGCTTCCAGCCTGTGGATTGATCTGCTATTTTCTCGTCTGTTTATTCATCGACTGTTTACTGAATGCTCTGATGTGCTGGGCACCAGGGCTCTGGCACTGAGGACCATAGAACCTGCCTTCAGACACTGCACTTTAGAGAAGAAGACACATGAATGGCAAGTAAGTGGTGGTAACTGTTATCTGTGAAGAAGCAGAGAAAGGGGTGTTGGACATGCAGGGGTGCACAGGGTGGGAGTGTGCACAGGCATGTTCTGTCTGGGGTGCAGAAGGCAGAGAAGAAATCTAGAGAGCAGGTCCTTGGAGACCTGGGTGAAGAGCACCCCTGATGGAAGGGCTTCAGGACCAGGGAGGAGCACCGTGGTGGAAAGACCAGGAACTGGGGGCGGGGTATCATAGCTTCGTTGGTTCTGCTAGGGATTTGTGCTGTTTTTGGGACTGGATGACAAAACAACGTGACTGTGGGGATGGGCTAGGGGCTGGAGTGCCTGGATTTGAACCAGCTCTGCCCCTTACAGATCGAGGAGCCAGCAAGAGTCAGTTAGCCCCTCCAAGCTTCTATCACGCCACCTTTAAATATGGGGAAGAATTCATCCTTCATGCCCTCTTTGGGAAGATTAAATGAGTTAATTTATGTAGAGTACTAAAGACAGGGCCGGACCTCCTATGAGGAGCCCAGTAGCAATTTCTATGAGAGCAAGTCGCTTCTCCTCTATGGGGTCCACGCCCCTCCCCACCCTGCCCACTGCGACGTTGTCCAACACAGGGCTTGTCCTTTTTGTTCCTGAGTCCTGAGCCCATCTGATCCCACAGTATGGCTTTAATTTATGTTAAATTAAACACATGGAAGGTCGAAGAAGCTGTGGGCAGAGAGAATGAATGACTTCCCTCCAGGCCTCCCAGCAAAGCATCTGTGCAGTGAGAACCCGAACTCGAGAACCTGGTTCCTCATCTGGGGCTTTCCGCCAGCTCAGGCTCATGGGGCCTGGCTGTACTTGGGGGGAGGGGAAACTGCATGTGGCAGGTCGCCACAGCGTCTCCTCGGGGATTGCTCTCCCCACGCAGGGACGTCCCGCCACTTGCCCGGGAGGGGTGCTGCCCACCTGCCGAGTGGGGATCGCTCCCTGCTGGTGGCTGAGCTAACAGTGCCACCTGCTGGCCTCGAGGCCCCGGCCATGACCTGACTCCGGAGGTCTGGGGCTACCTCTGGTGGGCATTCGGAAGACAGCAGCGCAAACGTGGCCTGGCTATCCCCAGGGCACGATGAACCATGATGTCCCTGGGCTCTTTGCCATCTTTGATGTTTGCGTTATGCTGTGGGCCCATGCTGGAACCAAGCCTAGAAAGCAAGGCTTCATAGCAACTTAGGAGGCAGGCGACCAGAGGCACAGGATGGAACAAGATTTCAGGCACAGAGAACATGGCATGCTCCCTGATGACAGAAGGTCCTCTCTGAGTGGCACACACAGTCTTGGGAATGGTGATGATGCTAAGAACTGTCGAGAATGATGGCTAGGAGCTGGGAACTGAAAAGAGGAGGAGGGAAAGGAAGTGGTGCTCTTCTGACTCCTCCTCCAGGACTGAAATCACTGACGGGACACTGGAGAAGAGCAGGCGCAGTGTAGACGGCCTCTCCCCAGGGGGGAGGTCAGCAGCAGTCACCCTTGTCTGAGCTGTTCAGGAGACACTCGGCCCCGAGTCTCCCCTCCTGGCCGTCATGTCATTGACCATCACTGATGGCTCTGGCTGGGGCTCAGCTTCCCGAGTCAGCCATATTAGAATCTCCAAGAGGCTTGAGAAGGCCAGCCCAGCTTGAAAAACACTTCCCTGAAAAGCTTATTTTGTTTTGGGGCAGGTCTCATGCCAACCTATCCTGCCAAGAAGTGATTGCTGTTGAACTGTTAGTTTTCATTGCTGTCTAACATAATTTTACATGTAGAGCAGAGGGCACAGTCACCCTTCAGGGTCAGCTGGGAGAGAAGGCTTTGACAGGCTGGGAGTTTCTTAGAAGCCTCTAGAGAATTTCTTTAAAAATGAACATCAAGAATGGCTGATGTCCGATGAGCAGAACAGGTGCAGCCCTTACTGCAGAAGTGAGTGGGTTGCATCCATCTAAGTGCCCACAGTGAGATTCCACAGGTGTCTGGGGAGAAGGGCAGATGAAGGGTGGAGCCCCAGGCACAACTTAGCTTTTGGCATACGCTTGCATTTCTTCTGTTCCAATTGCAGACAATCTTGCAGGGTCCTGCCGGACACACAAGAGGTGGGGAAGAACACAGAAAGAAGACTGAGGGCAGGAGGAGAAGGGGTGAAAGAGTATGAATGGTTGGATGGCATCACCAACTCAATGGACATGAGTTTGAGCAAGCTCTGGGAGATGGTGAAGGACAGAGAAGCCTGGTGTGCTGCAGACCGTGGGGTAGCAAAGAGTCGGACACGACTGAGTGACTCAACAACAACAAAGCTTACTGAAGGGACTCTGGGCAGCACAGAGGCTTGCTTTTCAGTCAGCATAGCTGGAGGTGTTAGGAGGTGAAGTTTGATGCTACTGGCCTCATTCTCTTGTCTGTTTTGTTTTTCATCTTAGTAAAAATTATTTGAATGCAAAACCAGTAGAAAATTGACTGGTCAGAATCTGTTCAGAAGAGCTGTCATGTCAGACCCTGTTTTAGAAAGAGCTGACGGTTGGAAGTCAAAGGCGCTGATTTTGTGAGTGTTCACTGCAGTCATTCTCCCTCCCTGGGACTCAGTTCCTACTCTGAACAGTTGGGGATTGACCAGCTTTCAAAGACCTTTATAGTTCTTATGCTCTTTGGTTCTTTAAAAGGGACACTTAGATCATTTGGTGGTTGATTACCCATCACATTAAGAGATAATTTACATGGGTTCTTACTTTACAAAGAAACATCCATCTGCTCATGCATTTTCCCACCCATTTGTTCAGCAAGGAGTGAGTGCCTACAGCATTCCAGCACTGCTGTGGGCCAGCACAGAGGACTAGCTGGGGATAAAGCCAGGTCTTGGCCCTCCTGGAGCTTGCAGTCTTATGGGGGTTGGTCACACACAATAAAAAAATCGAAATATTTGCATATAGTAACCTATATATACTATATATACTATACTATATATAGTAACTATATATAGTCATATAGTAAGCTACTGTGTGAGCTAATGCAATGACTGTCCGATGGTAGTAAGTTCTAAGAAGAACATCACAGCAGGATGGGATTATGGGGTGAGGACGGCTATTTTTTAGCTAGCCTGCTCAGGAAAGTCCTCTCTGAGACGAGACGGGGGCATTTGGTGAGAGAAATGATGGACAAAGGAATGAGCCCTAGACAACCCAGCAGACACGCGGGCAGAGGCCCGATGTGAGCACGGGGCCCGTGGCGGAGGTGAGGAGTCTGTGGGAGGAGAGGAGGCTGATCCTGGGACCCCACCTCAGGATTCCAGGCCAGGTGTGACGGGCTGCCATCGGTGAGTTCTTAGTCAGTGCTCAGAGCACCCTGCCTGGCACTGGGGCGCCGAGAGGTAAAATAGACCCTCCGCGGGGAAGGGCCTCGAAGCTGGCCTTGTGCCCACATGTGGTGGCAAAGGACAGTGCCAGGAGCTGCGTGGGATGGAAGCGGCCACTCAAGACAACAGCTCTGGGACCTGGAGGCTGGGCTTCCTACACCTTGCCCGGCAGAAGGCGTGGATCCTGGACCACGAAGAGGCTCGAGGGGACATCCGGAGGGAGTCTGCGGGGGCTGAAGCAGGAGTGGGGGCAGTGGTTTGGCTGCCGCTGCAGTTCTCACAGCGGATTTGGGGAGCGAGGCTGGCTGAGCACAGGGCCTGGGCACCCTCCGCCCCAGGCCAGTCTGGAAGGGCTCCTCCTCAACCCAGGAGCTCACCAGGCCCAAGTGGCCACGCCCTGCTGCCCTCTCTTGCACACGAGCAGTGGATGGTTCCCCTTGAGGCCTCATCCTCACCAAGAAAGGGGTGGTTCCTCATTGACCCCCAGGCCCCACCTGCCCTGCGGGTGACGCCATCGCCCCGGGACTCGCTAATGAAGAAGAGCGGCTCAGTTCGGCCGTGAGCTGTGTCTTCTGTCGTGTGACTGGCTGCTCGCCGCCCTCTGACCTTCGACCTCCAGAAGCTCAAGGGCCTCCCACCAGGGTCCCCCTTCCTGCAAACCGACGTGATTGTCCCCAAGTGAGCCCGTGGCACCTCGGCTTGTGCTCCCTGTCTGGTCCCGGTGGGAGGGCTCGCAGACCCCAGTTCACTGGGCACAGATTGGAGCTCAGGCTATCTGTCCACCAAGAGCTGGGACATGTCACTCTGCCCAGGGCCTGGGCCCGGCTGCCTGAGCCGGGCCTGCCAGCGCCACCGTCTGTGAGATGAAGCCTCTCCATTTTGGGACTGTGACATAGTTCCATCAGACCTGGACGGCCGGGGCGCACATTCCGGGCTGAGACCAGGGTGGCAGCAGAGAAACCTGAGCTGCGGGGAGACATTCTCAGGCTCGAAACTCACAAACCCGGGAGGGAAAGGCACTTGATCAGAAAACGACACCATTCGGGTTATTTTAATGCCCCGGATTTGTGCTGCCCTTTCAGCGGGGCCCCTTCTGCTGCAGGGCGCTGCTGCCAAGTGACCCTGGGGCAGGTGACGTTCACTTGTTTTTCACTGAAGAACAAGGTCATGTCTGGCTCCCGAGCTGTGGTTCTGTCTGCGGTTTTCGAGCACACGCCGTCCGCTCGGACGGAGGCACATATCAGGCTCTGAGGCTCTGTGGCCAGCCTTTGTGGCTGCCGGCCTGGCGCGAGCATGCGGAGAGTGCTCTTCCCTTCCCTGGGACAACTTCCCCAAACTTCTCCCCGTGTCAGGCCCTGCGGTGCTGAACACACCATCTGGGCAAGCTCTCAGACTGCTTGAACTTGCAACCAAGGGGAAGGGATGGTGGTCCCCTACTCGGGGAGCCCACCCCAATCTTCCTCATAGAATACCAAACGTGGAGTCAAGGATAAGAAATATCACCTATTTAAGGTTTACATATAATCTTAAGTTGATGTCCACTTTGATTGATCAAAGAGACAATTAGACTAGGGACAGCCAATCGGTCCACAAAGACTGGTAAGCTGATACAGGAGAAAAATTTAGGGGCTAAAGAGAAAGCAACTTTTGAGTTGCATAAGAAAGGAAAAATGCCAGAGATATGAAGTCTTTTTAAACCTTTTTTTCCCCTGTTATTATTTACTTGGTTTTGTTTTTAAGGAAAGGGCTTCAGAAATAAACACAGGGAAGGAATTGGGTGAGGCAAACAGCTGGTTCAGGCTGCCTGCTATGAGCAAGACTAGATGAGGAAAATTTCTGTCACTTGGGAAACTGCTATAGAAACCCTAATCTTATAAAGCTCTCAGGTCTGTCCACCCCAGCAGTGGGTGTTCCTCCAGAGTGCAGGCCTGCTGAGACACAAGCTCTGGCCTTTCTCGTCTCCAGACTGCTGCAGGGAAGGGCACAGCCCCACGCTTCAAGCCTCCAGGCCCCGGACACTACTGCCGTCTGCATACACACATACTTACTGCCCCCTTATCTCTCCAGACAAGCTCTCGCCTGGCCAGTAAATGCCACGTGCCACTCACAAGCCCACATCTGCGCAAGGCACTGCACGAGGGGATGACTTATGTCTCCAACATTAGGACAATAGCTTCTACTATCTCGTCCAAACAGAACGCTGGAAAGGAAACACTCGGGTCCTCACCCTTATGCAGGATGTAGGAAGTGCGGGGAACAGATCTGGTATTAATTACCCAGGGTTCTACCCTGAGTAAGTGGTTAATCCCAAGGAGGTTTACACTGCAGGCTGCCCAACCCGCCCCGGGGTGGATACACACCAGACTGGCTCCTGAGACCGTCCCACACCACGTGTTGTGCACATGTGCACTGGCCCAGGGGCAGACTTGGTTCCACAGCAGACGGGGGCCCCCTTCCACTGGCCTTCTCTGAGATAGCACGTGACCCAAGCACTAGGTTGTCTAGGGTTTCCTCCTTTCCCTGAAATGCATCGTTGTTTAATCCTCAGACTGAACTTCCTCCTTCACCTGCTGTTGCCCTCTTTCAAGTCATGGCCTAGAGGCTCATACTGGGGCCCAGAAACAGCAGGGGACTTTATCCCCAGGGCCAACACACTGACCTGGAGCTACTCCGAACATCTTAGATTCCTGAGTTTTCATTCTGATGGCAGCTGCCCAGTTTTGATTTGTGCTTGGGCTCACAGTTACAGCAGTGAATGTGGCGGGGAAGACAACAAACACCTGTGAGAGTGACGCGGCATTTCCGTAGTCCTCCTTCTCTTGTGGTTATTATTGCGTCTTTGAAGGGTCTTCCTTGCAGCATCTTAAGACGTGACTTAAACTATCAGAGAAGGTATGAAATAAAAAATTTTAAATCTGGGACCAAAGGATTTCCAGAAAGCAAATGGAAGAGAAAGCTGTGTTTGTCCTCACCATAATTGCACTCCTTACAAATTTGCATCTGGGGCAGGAAGCAGTTGAGGCTATTTCTTGCAGGCAGATTTTTGTTTTGTCTTTTCAATCCCAGTAAGGTAAAGAGCAGGTGAAGGTGGAGGACTTGGAAAGTAGACAGGGTGTGCTGGGTGTTTTTGTGGCTGGCTAATTTTAAAACCCATTTTCAAATCAGGACCAATTTTCTTGAAGAAGCATATCGCTTTAGAAACTTATGACGGCCTACACACTTAGACCACAAACAGTACTGTTATAAAACTGTGTGGGTTTTGGAACAGGAAATAGGAAAATGAACTTCTTTCATGTGATACTTGCTTTAGAATAAAGATGTAAGGTCCTAAAAGTGAAAATTTGCTTCCCCCTCCTTCCTATTTTGTCCCCCGCAAATTCTTTTCATTAAACTTAATTCACATATTCTGCCTCCTAAAAGTTGATGAGTACAACGTCCTTAATTGAATGAGCATCAGTGACAATCGTGCAGCAGGTAGACAGGAGGGTTGAGGAGGCACCAGCGTGTAACAGGAGCAGAACAGGAATGACACTCCTTGACCTCAAAGAATTGTAACCTCTCGCTGAAGACCCCATATCTATACACATTGATCTGAGAGGCAGTGTAGGTAACTCTGAGTTACCCAATCAGATAAAGCTTCAAAGAAGAGGTGGTGTGTGAATCGGCTTTCACGATGGAAGGTGCCCACCTGTGCAGAGCTGGAGTAAAGGGCCACACCTGAGCAAAGAGCATGTGCCGGAGGACAGAAGTAGGCAAGAGCAGGGTACAGGCCCCCAGACTTATGAGAGACCATCTCCACAACACATTCCGTCCCCGAGTAAGAGACCTACCACCCACCCAGGCCACACAGTTCTCCCAGAGACACCCTGAACCCTGATGAAAGGGACCCTCACTGTTCTTGAAAGAACCTGGCTTGCCACCCCTGGGTTGACTTGGGACTCCATGTCTTCGTGAAGGACAAAAACTCCAAAGAAAGGGTTGCTTTTTTTCTTAATAAGTTCTGTCCTCCCTAATGGCATGATTTGAGATGAAATGCAGACATTTTGCTAAATCAAGGCTCATCTTTTTGATAGTGACAAGCGGCAGAATGATTCTTTATCAAGGGGCATAGGCAAAAGGGCTGATGCCCTGGGCTGACGGATCACCACGCAATGCTACCAGGCACAGAGAAATCACAGCTTCTGTGTTCAGGTGAGTGCCTTTATCTACAATCTCAGACTTTTGTGTTTATCTATCTTGGTCTTCACCCTCATGGATTAATCCAAGTATCTGGCCCGCTTGGATTGCCACACTCTCTTGCTCATAATAATATAGTGCAACAGTAACATGGAACACACAGGGAAGAAAGGAAAAGTCAAAAGCATGCACATGGCCATATAAAAAATAAACAAGGAGGATTGTAGCCCACCAGGCTCTTCTGTCCATGGAACTGTTCAGGTAAAAATACTGGACTGGGTTGCCATTTCCTCCTCCAGGGTATCTTCCCAACTCAGGGATTGAACCTGGTCTCCTAAATTGTAGGCAGATTCTTTTCCATCTGAGCCACCAGAGAAGCCCTTATTGTATAGCATAGGGAACTGTATTATCTTGTAATAAACTGTAATGAAAAGAATCAAAACCTAAAAAATGGATGTATTCATATAACCAGATCATTTTGCCGTACACCTGAAACTAGTAATATTGTTAACCAACTATACTTCAATTTAAAAAATGTCAAAGTGTGGGCTGCTTATGTAAAAGCTGCAGATTTACCTTCTTAATCCTTAAAACACTTTGATGTTAAAATTAGTCTACATCTCCTAAACGAACACTGACCAGTGACAGAGAGTCCTATTTGGGATTAGAATAAGTAGACAAGGTCACTTACAGTTTTCTAAGTTTGAGTCTTGATTCTACTGTTTTTTTTTTCCCTTCCAACCCTCTACATCCTGGAAACAGTGTGCTAGTGACTCATACAGAAGTGCTTATAGGTAAGGTTTGAAGGATCAAGATGTGCTGAGAAATCAGATTTTGTCATGTTGGTGAAGACATCAGAGCCAGGAGTAGTCCTCTGTATCCTGTCACATGTTTGTTTTTGTTTCTAAAAAAGCCAAGTTCATAAGTACTTTCAGACCAGAGACAGGTGAGAAGCAAGAGGGACATGGCAGGAGGGCTCAGCGAGACCGAGACAAGTGCAGAGCGTCGGTCCGGGTGACTGTTGGTGCCCACACTTCCTCCACCGCACTTAGCTTGCCCTGCTTCCAACCCTGCTGCTGGGTCACAGCAGGAAAAAGGTGTGACGATCCACATTTGTTTCTGGCTGGACACATTCTTCTGGGTTTGTTTTTCTGCCCCCACCTTTAAACCAGACACTGCTGCCTTTGCATTCTGAGTATCAGACAAGTCAGAGGGTCTAGACATGATGTTTGGGGTGCCTCCCCTCACTGGCTGTGTCCTGAGAGATATCGTTTTGTGTGAAGCGCGCCCTCACCCTTAAGGCAGGTTTGCTGTCTGGAATTCACCCTGCAGTGGGTTTGTTCTCTGGTCCACAAAGGCAGTGTCAGCGGACACTGCCCTGTGATTTCTGACTCTCCCGGTGGAAACAGAGGTGCTAAGTTATGGCAGAGCCTGCCCAGCTGGGCTCCTATGCCCACAGCATCACGGTTTCCCTTCCTCCCAGGTTCCCATTCTTACCTGTATCTAGCAGGGCTGGCTCACCTTCCTCACTCATCCTAAGGAAACACACCCTGCCGAGCACAGGAAGACGAGAAGCAGGTTCTGAGGGGGCTCCCCAAGCCTGGCATCTCCGCTCCCCCAGCAGAGGGGAGCAGGGAAGCCATGCCGCCGACACGGCACAGCAGGGCCACGTGATTCACGGGGCCTGCTGTTACACCTGAGCCCTTTCTGTGCTCAAAAGGGCGGTAACCTTTCTGTTCCCTTTACTAAGAGAAGTCTGTCTCTGCGATGGTGACCTTCCCAACTTATCTGCATCCTCTGCCAAGAGGCAGAGCGAGGATTCCGATTGAGGTTTTATCACCTGAAGTTCACTACACTCCAGAGACCCTGAAGCCACTGCATATGTCAGCAGCAGCAGCAGCAGGAAGTGAGGATGGGCTGGGAGCACTCTAGCGGTCAGAATGACGCAGGCGGGAGTCAAGTCTCCAGGGGCAGGACCAAGCAAGGCTGTTCGGGTGTGTGATCAAGGTCCAGGGCTGCTGATGAACGCTCCCAGGATTCTTTCATGACCCGCACCACGCGATGGAATGGACCCCAGGTTCGAGGCACACCGCGCCCTCCCAGCCCAGGCGGCTCCAGCCTCAGCTCTCACCATACCCTCCCTGCATGCTGGGCTTGCCCAGTGCCACACAGCTTATTTTTAAAATTTCTCCATCGCAGCAAAATACACATAAAATTCAGCATCATAACCATTGTTCAGTGTGCAGTTCCGCACTGCTACATAGACTACATATACATGAAAACAGGTCCCCAGAGCTCTTCCTCCCAGGCAACTGAAGCTCGTCCCCACTGCACCCCCCGCCCCTCTGCCCCACGACCGCCTTCTCCTGTCCCGAGCCCGACCACTCCGGGCACTTCAGGGAAGTGGGTAAAACAGGTGTCTTTCGGGGGGGGCCACTCCAGGTCTTCACCCATGGTTCACTGTTGCATCTGAACTCCCCATGCTTCCACAGGCTCTCTTGTTAAATCCTTTAGGAGTCAGTTCAGATAGAATTACAATCTCAATTAAGTGCCTTTAATATTCAATGGTGCGTTAACTGCACCCAAGTGGAGCTGTCTGGGTTCAAACCCCTAGACTCTCCAGGCGTGGCTAAAGGCCTACATTCTCGCTGGCTACCCCTGGGAGCTTGTGAACACACAGCACCCCAGGTCTCTACCCCGGCTCCAGGTAACTCTGGCACACACTTGACTTCAGCAAGCACTGCTCTGACTCACTAGGATGGGGTCCGCAGCCTACTCCCGGGCTAAACCCAGCAGCTGCCGTGGCATATGAACAGAGCTCTGGGGGACACAGCCCATCGCAGGAGCACGTGCTGCGGCTGCCCAGGTCCTTGTGGGAGAGCTGAGTAGCTGCGGCAGACCACCGCGTGGCCACACGGGCCTGACCAGGAGTCTGCCAGACCACAGGCTCCTCACAGGTGAGAACCCGCCCTCTTGTGTGGGCTGGAACAGTGGTGGTGTGTGTGGGCTCTGCCATTTCCTCAAGCACCTGTGGCCATCCCCACCTCTCTGTGCCTCGTGTGCCCATGAAGTGGGGACACAGCAGAACCATCTCCTGGGGCTGACGTGTGGGTGAGGGAAGGTGACGCATGTGAAGAGCTTCAGGTGGCACATTTGGCAAACGTCACTTAGTTGAGCACAGGGGGGCGTTGGTGGTATTTTGGCAGAATGACCCCTGCAACAGACACTGTTGGTCAACACCCGACCTCTGCTTCTTCCTTGCTAACATCTATTTTCTCAGGTATCTAACCTTCCTGGCGAGTGACCTCCCCAGGTGGAAACACTACTAGAAGCCAAGCGTGTTCAAGCATCCTCAATGTCATGGATTGGCTCAGGCGGGTGGTTTGGGCCAATGAGTCCTGAGGACTCTTGAAGGGCTTCTGGGAAACTGTTCCCTCATTTTTAAAAAGAAAACATGGGGGAGATGCCCCCATTCTTTCAAGGATATTATCACATGTGGATGTGATGCCCTGAACTGCAGCAACTGTGAAGGCTGGTGGTCTGAAGATGAGCTAATGTGTTTACAAGGCAAAACAAAAAGATGGGAAGAATCTGGGCCCTCGATGAGGTCCAAGGTGCTGCATCTGCCAACTCGGGGCCTCACCTACTCAGGGACTGGTTTGATGGAAAAAAATAAATGTCCTTAGTAATTTCAGCCTAAAGCATGCTAACCCATAGAGCTAGAGACCACGTTGACACACATTTTTACTCTGCCCAGGACCTAACATCTGCTGTCGGGCTCCATGAGCGAAGGAGAGTGGAAGCTGGGAATGAACGGGCAAGGGCGGGGAGGGTGACAGGAGAAGCAGGAATGTTCTAGGCTAGTGCAGGTCCAGTTCTTCACTTGTCACGGCTGAAATGAACCTGCCGTGCTGGGTGCGTGAAGGAAGCCAGGGAAGGCCACAGAGGCCAGCATGCACTCGCTCTTGGGGAGGGGCTGGTACAGTCTGCAGTGCAGCCCTCTCAGGAAAGGGTGGAAGGGTGGGGTGGGCCCCCCGGAACTTCGGCAGTTTGCCCTTCAGGGAAGCAGCTTCCTAGGGCAGCAGCCGAAGTCACGCCCTCTGCAAGCCGGGATGCTGGGCAACACTGGTGAGCACAGAGAGCCCTGAGAAGTGTCTCCCTCCATGGGCTGTGGGGACGCTCGAGAGACCTGCGCTCTGGCTTTCAAGAGTGCTCCTGGATGGACTGTGTTTCCTGGTGGGAAGAGAGAACTCAGAATACTGTCTTCTCCTCCAAGAAAACTCAGCTGTGGTGCTTTTCCCAGTTTCCCTGGAGCCTGGGGTGGGAGTGGGGAGGGTGGGGGGTGTCAGGCGCACGTGTGCACAGGCCAGGCTCCCGGCAAACAGTGTCAGGGAGGAGGGCAAGGGGGGGCTCGTTCCCCTCCCCCATGGCTCCCTTTTCCAGAGGAACCAGGATCCACCCACCAGCGACAGTCCACACATCACAAGGAGGCACGGAAATGGACGTGCGTGCAATGGTGCATATACGCCCATCGCCTGCTACAGACCAAGTGTGTGTGTGTGTGTGTGGCGGTGGGGGAGGGGGGATGGTGCTACTGAGACCCCAGGCCTTCTGAGTGAAGCCCTGTTCCAGAGGGTATGGTCTTCTGCTTGGTCTCTGGGTGGCAGAGTGATCCACCCTTCCTAACCCTCAAAGAAATTGGACAATGGCCTCTGGCTAAGGGGAGATGCCCGTCTTCCTGGGGTGTCTGCAGTGGAGCTGGTTACGGCAGATTCTTCGGCAGAGGCACTGAGCTCCAACAATTCCAGGATGATGTCCCAAAGGCAGTAAATCAAATGCCTGAAACAAACGAACAGAACAACTTGGGGGAAGGTCTGGCCGGGGTCTCAGGACACCAGATCCTGTTGATGACATTTATCTCACCTCCCCATTGCCCTTTACTGATATCCTCGGTGGACTGCAATGTCTCAGCCGTAAAATAAAAGTCTGCTAAGCTAAGGAAGGCTAGGATTGCAACGAAAATGGAAATGGTACTTGAGACGGGATTTAAGGAAATTTCCTATTTCTTTACATCTAGCACGTCGGCACTGCTCTGAAGAGCTCTGAGCAAGGGGAATCCCTGTAGTAACAACTTACTAGGAACCTTCAGGTCACCTGTGATGAGGCAGAGACAGGACGTAAGGAGTGAGAGTTCATGAACACAACGTGCTCAGGGCAGGGCTGAGAGGGGAGGGAATGCGCTCTCAACACCAGTGGAATTCTCCATCCCCGGGCACTGGCCAGGGGACCATGACCTCTGTGTGCTGAGGGCTGTCAGGGCCTTCTCAGGAGCTCCCACGGGGGCTTGCATCGAGTTCTTCCCAACGCAAACGGTGGCTGGTCCCGCCAGCTCCCGACCAACTAACCCCCGCTCAGAAGCCAGGGAGACGGTCGTTGCACCTGCGTCCGGGGCCCAGGGCAGGAGACACTGCGGTCCCAGTCTTCTCAGTACAGCTGTTCACCCAGAAACCCGGGACCCTCTGAGACCAGAGACGGCCTCAGCCGTGCCCACCTGTTGATGAGGGGCTGATGCAGCGACTCCAAGACCAGACTCCAGCTCAGCCGGCATTTGTTCTCCCCGAGGATTTCTACAATGACATCTGAAGAGGAAAGGTGGACATGGTTTTAGTTCACCGCGAAGCCTTAGCCTCTGCGGCAACCGTCTCCTCAGGATGTCTGCTGTCCTTATTCACACTGGGTACTTCTGGTCCAACTCTGAACCACACAGACAAACTAAATCCTCAGGAGACAGGGAAAAGCCAACAAAAATGTTTCTTAAGTTAGATATCTAAATAAGAAAGGGCCTCAGGAGACAATTCTGTAAGCTGTCGCTGCTTCTGACACAATGGTGTAGGCTGGAGAACAGAGGTTAACAGGGTAAGGAACACGGTCTGGGGAAGAGTCCACCACTGTACCATCCTTCCCCCAGCATGACCACAGGCAGCAAACTGCCTCCCCCGTCCTCCGAAAAAATCATACAAAGAGAAGGAAGAAGCCCTCTTCAGAGTTTGCTTCTAGCTGAGGACCGTGCACTTTACTTGTCGGCCCCTGGTTCCCAAGCTAGGCTTCTGCAGGTGCGTCATGCTCCTCCCTGGTCCACAGGGCTGGAGTCCTCACCTGCCCCGAGGACGCTTCCCGTTCCCTCAGCATCCCCAGAAGTCCCAATCACTTTCCTGTTGGCCTCAGAAATGGCAGGTCAATGCATTTTCTGAGTCCTGCCTCAGATAAGGCCCTTTGAAAACAGGGGAAGGGAGTGGGATAATGGCAGGAAAGCGAGGTGGGGAGGAAGGCTATGGCACCATCAGCCTCTCTGCAGTCACCTGGTAAGACACCCATCAGGCTCTGCAGAGCCTGTTTCTCAGCCGCTGCCTTCTGTTCCGGGGTCCTCACAGGCCGAGGACACTTGGGCAAAGCCCCATCCGGCCAGATGGACTCCTGGAGGAGCCGGAGGTATTGCACCCAGCGCTGTGGACATGTCAGATGAGCCACCTGCACCTCCAGCCACCTGCGGGGGGGAGAGAGAAGGGTCAGGGCAGTGTGAAGGACCCAGAGCCAGGGCAAAGCATCCAGGCAATGAGGACAGAACAACGCCGAGTCAGCGCCAGTTCCCCCAGGTGAGGCCAGGCCGGCGACGGCGTGGGCTCCCACAACTTGAAGATGAGCGACAACAGGGTTACAGTCGTGCACTGAGTATGAGCGCCTATGTGTCGGCGGCTGAGAACAGAGCGTCTGAGGGCTGCTGGCTCCGCGGAGGTGGCACCTTTCCCACCGTCCTCCAGTGAGGAGCACCAGGACGCCTCGGTGCTGGGTACACAGCGCAAGACTTTACACAAACCGCTCCCTGTGGCCACCCATCCACGCCCCCACAACCTGTCCTGCAGACTCCCGACATCACCCGTCGCTCCTGACAGACAAGGCCTGCTCCTCGCCAGCAGCAGAACTCTGTCCTTCTGGCAAAACCTGGTCAAACCCCACGTCCTCCACAGAGTCCTTCCTGAGCATTCCACCCAGAAATGTTCGCTCCTCAGGCCTCCTGCGGTGCTCCCTCTACAACACAGACTAAGCACTGGTATTCCAGCGTGGAATATTAATCACTGCCTCATGGGTTGACAGCTCGCCTTTCCCAACTCCATTGTAAGCACTGCAAGAGTTCCCCGCCACAAAATCTTCCCACAGTGAAATGTCTGTTGACTGACTGGCAACTGCTCTTATTACAGTGAAAATGTACCCCTCCGTCTTGCTTTCACAAATGAGTCAATAACTGAGAGGGCAGGTACTGCAATCTGCAGGGCCTGCGAGGTATTTCCACCTAAGCTCTTTCCCTGTCTCTTCAGGTTTCCAGAGCGGTGTGGTCACTTGCTGAGGTCCGACACTGCAGAGGCCTCCTTCGTGGGGCCCGTGTTGAGAATGGCATGGCCGTGATGGGGATGAATGGACTGCTGGCAACGTCACTCACGCAAAGAAGACTTTATTTGGTGCCGCACCACACAGCCTGTGCCATCACTCCAGACCTGAGCTGCCTGTCGCCCATCCAAGAGTGGAGGGGGCTGCCAAGGCAAACTTTATTTAACCTCCACTCTGCCAGACAGTCTGCATTCCGCTCACGCTAGGCATTCCAGCTTTGGGGGCTGCACTCCCCCAGGCCCAGGGCTCACAGATGATTCTAAGAATAAGAAGTCTGAAAGGTAACGGCAGGGCAGCAACGGCAGACATCGATGGAGATCAAGAGCGGCACAAAGCTGGCCCGGAACAGCAGTCACCATCTGGGCTCGCAGGTGGTTCAGGGGTAAAGAATCCGCCTGCCAGTGCAGGAAACACAGGGCTCAATCCCTGGGCTGGGAAGATCCCCTGGAGAAGGGAATGGCCACCCACTTCAGCATTCTTGCCTGGAGAATCCCATGGACAGAGGAGCCTGGCAGGCTACGGTCCGTGGGGTCACAAAGAGTTGGACGTGACTGAGCGACTAACACTTTCCCTTTCAGCCAGCATTAGCTCTAGCTCAGCCTCTCGCTCACAGATGCAAACAACAGGCTGGCTTGCCCTTCAGTTTGACCTTCAGTTTGTCCTCTGGAGCCAGGAGCACTGGCGACTCTTCGCAGGGACCTCAGCATCCACTCAACCCTTCCTCGACTGAGCATGACAACAGCAGCCCTGGGTGCCCGGCCCCCTTGTGGGCCTGCTTTACTTTAATTCACTCAATGGGAATAGGACCTCGAACTGCATTTGGGAAAGGAGGTCCCCTCTGCTCCCTCCCGTGGTGACCAAGCATCTCATGAACACATGCTAGATGCAGAACAAATGTTAACATGTGGCAAGATACAAATTATACAAACCTACTGGACTGTAACCCATCAAACTCTCAATGTGGATGTTGGGAAGAAAAATCACAGTATGAAAAAGCAGGAATAAGCCCCTGATGAGGATGAGTCAGTGAGTCAAATAAAATTGTCAGAGCTTAGCAGAACTAATTGACAAAGACATTTGAGGTCACCAAGCAAAACATCAGCTGCTGAACAAAACAAAGGCGCCGGTAAGCTCCCTAAGCCCTGAGGCACAGGACTAATAACAGATGGGCCTAGAAGAGTCAGTCCTGGGAATGGGAGAGGCAGGACTTGTGTAAACCAGCTGAAATGAGACCAACTTCGGCTCTAAAGAGAGGGGTGCACTGTAGAAGGAAGTGCTGCGAGGTTCAGTGCTCCTGTTCTTCCCCATGCCCCACAGGCAGCAGACATGCCGCACCCACACCACACAGATGCTTCCCTCCCTTTTCAGGTCCTCCTCCTCCTCCTCGAATGAAACAAGAGGCTGCCTCCTGGGCACTGGGGTGAGCCTGCTTTCGTAGGAGAAGGCAGCCTGTGGAGAAGACGCGGGCAGCAACCTTTTATTCACAGAACAGCTGAGGTGTGGGCTCTCGACATAAGTGAGGAGCATCCCTGTCTGTAGGGGAAAGCGATCAAGTCCAAATCCAGAGAATCACCACCACCACTGCTGCCCCACCCGCAGACAGTACAAACCACCTGTGTGCCAGAGACCCCTCTCGAAAGCAGGCTTTATCACTACACACAATGCCCCCTACACGTCATCAGCGGCCTGCTCCAGGGATCTGTATAGTCTGCCCAACACGCTGCACAGAAGCAGTACTTGGTCAACAAGGAAGAGCACAGGGATTTCTTCATCCAACCATCGCTTCTCTCCTTCAACCCATTTCCCCTTCCTCTATTCCAGAGTGAAGCTCCGTGCACACCACCCTTCTTTATCTAACACTCAACTCCCTCGGTCCTGAACCTGGGCTGAAGCACAGGAAGCCAGCAGATGAGGCTCTGGGGTGAGTGTTAAGTGACCGACACCCTGACCCCCACCCTTAGCTCCCTTGTTGTTGCTGTTTAGTCACTAAGTCGTGTCCAACTCTTTGCAACCCCATGGACTGTAGCTTGCCAGGTTCCTTTGTCCATGGAATCCTCCAGGCAAGAATACTGGAGTGGGTTGCAATTCCTTCTCCAGGGGATCTTCCCGACCCAAGGATTGAACCCACATCTCCTGCACTGGCAAGTGGATTCTTTCCTGAGTCACCTGGAAAGCCTCGTTAGCTCTCCGCATCTCTCCACTCCACATGTCCTCTTTCTGTTCTTAACCCGGGGGTGGGGAGGTTAAGGAGAAATCTGTGTCTTGAAGCACAAGGAATGGAATCTGTGTTGCGGTCCAGTGTGCCATAATAGCTCCTCCAGCATCAGGTTCTGGAATCTGCTGCAACCACTGTTAAGTTAGGAGCTCCAGTTTCAAGGTGGAGATACACCCACACATCCCTTGGACTATTTACTATTTACAATTATTTATAAGAAATCATTTACTAAATACAAATGTTATTGTTGATGTAACACAAGATGCATGAGGTAAATACGCTAAAATAAATATGGAGGAGAAGAGCCTCAAATAGCACTGGTTTTATTTTCTACTACTATTCCAGTTCTGATATTTGATTTAGATATCTTCTTCTACCTTCTAGCTTCTCCCCAAAGAAAAGAAGAAAAAAAGGGAGACCACATCTGTTCTGTCAGGCCATCTCTGAAGGACTCAGAGCACAGAGAAGACGTTCTAGGGGCCCAGAACAGGCAATAAAAGGAGAAAAAACAACAGCAGATGGACACTGAGACATGTAAGAGCCTCCGGTGCCAGACATGGACGGACAGAGGATGCAGAGACCAGGGCACCCATTACACTGGGAGTCCACGGCCAGCCCGTGCTCAAAGGAACCTGGTCTGAAATAGCTACACACAGAGAAAGGAAGTGGTGGCTAAAAATGAGACAGTTTAATACTAGGGCTTAAGATGGCACTTCAAGGTTAGCAGAAGGTCATTTTCCATCAAAAGAGCAGAATCAAATCTCAAGAGTAAGGGGAGAAAGCTTTAAGGGACCACATCTAAGCCAATTAACCAAATTCCCCTCACGTCTTTTCTAGGACTGCCGCCATGGCTGAGACAGGAAGGCCCTGGATAAGTATGGCTGCATGGGGCTGGGGGTGCGGTTTGGGCACGGCTTCCCAGGTGGTGCAGTGGTGAAGAAGCTGCCTGCCAATGCAGGAGACACAAGAGATGCAGGTTTGTCCCCTGGGTCAGGAAGATCCCCTGGAGAAGGGCAGAACCAGACACAACCTCAAAATGTGCCCTGACCAGCAAAGGATGCAGAGAATGGCACCCCCCTCAAGCCAGATACCATACTTGTATTTATACAGTCAAAGACTGTGCTGGCTTTGGGGGGCACAGACACTAAAGCACTGACTCATCACTGTATGCAGCCAACCAGAACCCTGAGTCCACGTATGTACTTAAACCAGAAATCACAGACTCCTGCTAAGTCTAGGCTTGTCCTTTTGTACTATACTTGTGTAATTAAAAAAAAAATCTAAATTCTGCTTTATAATATTTATTTCTGTTAAATCCCATCTTGTTTGCTTTAGACCATTGTCTTCTGCAAGGAGATCAAACCAGTCAATTCTAAAGGAAATCAGTCCTGAATATTCACCGGAAGGACAGATGGTGAAGCTGCAACTCCAATACTTTGGCTATCTGATGTGAAGAACTGACTCATTGGAAAAGACCCTGATGCTGGGTAAGACTGAAGGCAGGAGGAGAAGAGAACGATAGGAGATGAGATGGTTGGATGGCATCACTGACTTGATGGACATGAATTTGAGCAAGCTCCAGGAATTGGTGATGGACAAGGAAGTCTGGCGTGCTGCAGTCCACGGGGTTGCAAAGAATCGGACACGACTGAGTGACTGAACTGAACTAACTCTTCTAAAGTCTTTTGAATCTTGACTTCTGTCATCCAGAGTATTAATTATATCTTTAAGATCAGAGTTACTTGCAAATTCACTGACAAACAGGATAAGTTCTATGCTTTCACTAGGAAGTGCCCTCTAGGCTATCAAGTTATTAGCTACCTGGGCTAAAGATCCTCAGATAGCCATGGACCACTTAAAAGTCCCACAGTCCAGACCACGTATGT